ATGGGGTGGTGGGCGGGACTTCTGGAGCATCACAGGGTACTGGCAGTGTCCAAGGAGCATGCGAGGCTTTGCCAGGCGGGGGAAATGGCCCTAATGGTGGGTTAGGCCTAGAGGACCCTAACACGCTCACGACTTAATCGTGCACTTTAACATTTGTGCACTGGGCAGGGTCCCTCAGCCAGGCCTGTGCCCTTTGGCAGTTTGGGACCCCTTGGGGGATGTCTGCCTGCCACGGAGACAGGCGGGAGAGGCTCCTGCCACTGGCACTGCGCTCAGCCAGAATCCAGGCTTGCTATCCCTTAGTGCTGCCTCGGAGGCAGGAGGGAATCTCACCACCACCACTGCACTCGCCAGCAGAAAACCCAGCTTCTGGTTGAGCAGCGCTCCCCCTGTGGGAGCACATTGACCACCAGGGAACAGCTCCTGTGTTGAGTGTCTACCCCCTGGTGGTCAGTGCATGTCTTAGCGACTGGTCATTCTGCCAGTTGATTTGCATATTAGGGTTTTATTATAAAGGCTATTTCATTTTTAACACGTTAAGCGCCAAGCCTGTTTTGTCTTCCTTTCTGTTTAGCCTGCGATATCCGATTTCACCAATATGCTGGCGACATCAGTGACTGACCGGTCCACGTGGAAAGTATAGTGTCAGTCAACAGCAGAGTATGCTTCTGCTTTTATTTTTCTTCATGGCGCGTTACCAGTGTTTATTTTTTCTTTTTCTTTTTTTAAAGAATATATTTATTGATTTTTTACAGAGAGGAAGGGAGAGGAATAGAGAGTCAGAAACAACATGAGAGAGAAGAAACACCCATCAGCTGCCTCCTGCACACCCCCTACTGGGAATGTGCCTGCAACCAAGGTACATGCCCTTGACCAGAACCGAACCTAGGACCCTTCAGTCCACAGGCCAACGCTCTGTCCACTGAGCCAAACCGGTCAGGGCAGTGTTTATTTCTCGTCTGTCTCCCTCCAGTGGAACATAAGCTATATATTGAAGGCAAACGTAAGCTTCTTTGCTCCACTAATGACCTAGGACAAAGAATAATGTCTGGTTTATAGTAGATGTTTAAAATACACTTGCTGAACGTACTGAAAGATTTCTTGAATAATGGATGTTTTTTGCACACTATGGGAGATCCTGTCTAACAAAATTAAAAGCATAGACCAGAAAAACAAAAGTGTGAGATTAAAAGCAAAGAAATACTAAAAGGAAGAAAGGTGTTCTCTCCCAGCTCTAGTTGTATGTATTAAAAAAGCGTTCAATTGTTAGATGTTCAAATGAGCTTTGCCAGAGAAGGAGGGAAAGAGCAGACGAAGAGGAAACTATCCAAAGCAATCTACAGATTGAATGCAATTCCTATCAAAATCCCAATAACATTTTTTACAGAAATAGAAAACCCATCCTAACATTGTGGAATCTCAGGGAACTGAATATCCAAAACAACCTTGAAAAGGCAACTGAGAATTCACACTTCCTGTTTTTAAAACTTACTGCAAAACTACAGTCAAAACTAGTACTGGCATAAAGACATTTAGATCAATAGAATAGAAAAAGCAGGGGCCAGGAACTTTTTTTCTGGCAAGTGTCATTTGGATATTTATAACATCATTTCTGGGCCACACAATTACCAACTTAAAAATTAGCCTGGTATATTTGGTCAAGCAATTGATTCACCCCCTAATCCCCTGCCAGGGCCAGACCGAATGATTTTGTGCGCCTTATATGGCTTGGGGCCAGACATCCCCACTCCTGGAATAGAGAGTCCAGAAATAAACTCTCATACATAAGGTCAAATGATGTGTGCGTGTTTTGTTAATCCTCATGAGAATATTTTTTTCACTGCTTTTCAGTGAAAGTGGAAAGGAGGGATAAGGGGAGAGAGAATCCACTGGTTGCCTCCACTCATCCTTGGGATGGGAAAAGGAGGTGGGGAGCAAATCACAACCCAGGTACATGCCGTTGACCAGAAATCCCGAAATCCTTCAGTTCCCTGGGCTGACAGTCTAACCATTGAGTCACACCAGCCAGGCCTGTTCAATTAATTTTTGGCAGCTGAACCAAGACCATTCAATAGGGAAAGGTCAGTCTTCAACAAATGATGCTGGAAAAACGGTATCCACATGCAAAAGAAGGGTGGATCCTTAGCTTAACACTATGACAAAATTAAAGTGCATCAAAGACCTAAAACAAAACTTAGGAGAAAACAATGAAAGCTTCATGACATTGGATTTAGCAGTGATTTCTTGGATATGTCACTAAAGGGACAGGTAACAAAAGGGAAAAATAAATTCATGAAAATTTTGTGCATCAAAAGACAGAGTACCACAGAAAGGGAGAAAATTTTCAAATCCCGTATCTGATAAGGGATTAAAATCCAGAATATATAAAGAACTCCCAAAACTTAAAAACAAGAAAACCCTACCCAATTTGCTGCGACCTGCACGGTGGGTTTCAGGATGACCTGTAGGAGGGCCAATGCACAATGAAGATACTAAACAAGAAATATAAATTTTTAAGGCATGGGAGGCCAGGTGGAGCCTTTTGCAAGAAGAACCCACGAGTGCTGGTCTTGCCTGCTTTTATTCATTTTGTTTACACATTTGCCCTTTAGCAATGCATGCAGGCAGAGCAGAGAGAATCAAAGCTCAGTAAAGTTCAGTAAACAATGTAAAGATTATCAGGTCAGGAAATCGCAATCACAGCAGGAGCAATCTGATATCAGCCCTGCTGAGATCAAGGTCCAGCGGCCTTCCAATGTCTCTTGCACTTTCATGCTAGTGCTGCTATGCAGTGGTCTCTGGCACCAATTAAAAAATGGGCATAACGTTTGAATAGACATTCTCCAAAGATAAACAAATGGCTAATAAGCACATGAAGAAATGCTTGACATCACTAAACATTAGGGAAATACAAATGAGAGCACCTCACACCCATGAGGATGGCTACTATAAAACAATGTTGGCCAGAATGTAAAGACATTGGAATCCTGTGTACTGTCAGGAATGTAAAGTGGTATAGCTGCTGTTGAAAACAGTACGGCAGTTCCTTAAAAAATTAAAAATAGAATTACCAAATGACTCAATAATTCCACTTCTGGATATATAGCCAAAAGAATTGAAAACGTTCTCAGAGATACTGTACACCCATATTCATGGTGGCATTAGTCACAATAGCTAAAATATGGAAGCAACCAAAGTGTTCACTGATGGCTGAATGGATAAGCAAAATGTGATAAATATAATTGAATATTTTCCAACCCTAAAAAGGAAGGAATTTCTGATGTGCTACAACATGGATGAACATTGAGAACACTATGCTGAGCAAAACAATTCAGTTACATAAAAGACAAATATTGTATGATTCCACTTAGATACTTAGAGTAGTCAGAATCATAATGACAGAAAGTTGAACAGTGGTTGCAAGGACTGGCAGGAGGGGAAAGTGGGAAATTATTGTTTAATGGGTATGGAGTTTCAGTTTTACAAAATGCAAAATTCTGGAGATGGATAGTGGTGCACAACCACAAGACTATTTAATACCACTGAACTGTATATTTAAAAACGGTTAAAATGGTAAATGTTACTTATATTTTACCACTAATAAGAACAAATTGCCCTAACTGGTTTGGCTCAGTGGATAGAGCGTCGGCCTGCAGACTCAAGGGTCCCAGGTTCGATTCCGGTCAAGGGCATGTACCTTGGTTGCGGACACATTCCCAGTAGGGGGCGTGCAGGAGGCAGCTGATCAATGTTTCTAGCTCTCTATCCCTCTCTCTTCTTCTCTGTAAAAAATCAATAAAATATATTTTTAAAAAAATCAATAAAATATATATATATTTTTAAAAAAGAACAAATTGATCATGCAAAAAGTGGGAAACTATGACCCATAATGGAGAAAAATCAACCAGGAGAAACAAACCCCCAAATGACAAATGATGGCATTATCAGACAGAGACTTAAATGCAGCTTTTATAAATCTTCCATATATGTTCAAGGATGTAAAAGAAAATTTGAACATGATAACAGAAATGGGAGATAAGAGACTCAAATGTGTAGAAAGGAAGCATCATCTTTTTACAAAAGTACTCTGAATAGGATTAGTATCAGATTATCATTGTCCAAGAAAAGAGCACCAAATTTGAAGACATGACCTCAGAAACTATCTATACTAATAAAAGCCTAGGTGGTCATCATGTGCGCCGTCATCACAAGATGGCCACCACAAGATGGCCGTGCGCACAGCGGAGGCAGGGCCCTGTGGCTGCTCCATACAGTGAGGCCTGGGGGTCCTGCAGCTCCCCGTGGTGCATAGGAGGCCAGTCCTGGTGTCTCCGCAGCCTTGTGCGGAGGAGGCCGATCGGTGGGCAGGGGAGGGCAGTTGGGGGTGATTGGGCCGGCAGGGGAGCAGTTAGGGGGCGACCAGGCTGGCAGGCAGAAGTGGTTGGGGCAAATTTCATGCACTGAGCCTCTAGTTTAAAATAAAGCACAGAGCCCTGCCGGCATGGCTCAGCGATGGAGCCTTGACCTATGAACTAGGAGGTCATGGTGGGATTCCTGGTCAGGGCCTATACCCTGGGCTGCCAGCTCAATCCCTAGGGTGGGGCATGCATTCTCATCATTGATGTTTCTCTCTTGACCTCCTCCTTCTCTGAAATCAATAAAAATATATATTTAAAAAGTAATAAATGCCCTCTATTTTTTCTTTTCGCAAAAAGAGTAGTTTCATTAGTATAATGTAAGATCGCTGAGATTAGGTGGTGAGACATGAAGCTGGGGAAGAGATGCCTTGCGCCCCACCCCCCCATCCCCCCCATAAGAGAAACACAGTACTGACTGCCAGAATACAAGACACGCCCACCTTGGGCATCCCGCAGGGATCAAGGATTTGAGTGACTTTTGGGCCCTTACGGCCCCTGTAGCGTCCCTAGTTACCGTGCCCCTAGTAACCGCCCGCCCCAAGCAGGGAGCCCCTCCTGCTTCACCACCGGGCCAGCGGGGGCGCTCAGGCCTCCGCGGCGCGGTGATGGCAGCCTCTCCGCGCGCGGAGCTGGCGGCCTCCAGTGTCCAAGCCCCGGTAAATCCCAACACCCCAGCGCGGGCCGCCCAGGACGAGGACCCAGACTCTAGGCTTATAGGCTTAGAGGATCTGGCGGCCGTAGTGGCGGCCTTGGAGGAAGAGGAGGACGAAGAGGAGGAGGAACAGGAAGATGAAAAGAAGGCAGTGCAGCCGTCGCGGGCGATGGTAATGTGGGGGCGGGACGTGGGCTAGGACTGGGCTCTGGCTGGGTGCGGGCTGATGGCTGGTCCGCGTCCCCGCTGGGCTGAGCGACATGCTGACAAACGCTGCTCCCTGTCCAGATCGTCGGTAATACTGACCCACCACCTTCTCTATGTTCCCATAGAAATCAGTAAAACCGAGGCCTTAAAAAGTCGTAATTTTCACCAAAACGATTGTTGTAAGAATTTCTTGGGGAGCATTTTATTTTAGTCTAGAGCAATGGTTCTCAACCTTCCTAATGCCGCGACTCTTTAATACAGTTCCTCATGTTGTGGTGACCCCCAACCATAAAATTATTTTCTTTGCTACTTCATAACTGTAATTTTGCTACTGTTATGAATCGTAATGTAAATATCTGATATGCTATATGTGTTTTCCGATGGTCGCGACCCACAGGTTGAGAACCGCTGGTTTAGAGCGTGCAGAACCTTACTCTTTATGCTCCAGTATTTGTCAGAAGTAGATATTCCCTTTTCTTTTTAACTTGGGGAGGTCTGATTTACCTACCCCACAGATGATAACCCCTAAGATTCAGGTGAATCAACTGTGCTATCAGAGGTGTGTTTTATTGTCATTTTAAGGTCTTGGTTATTAGTGCATCTTAACACGATACATGAGAAGCGATGTTTAAAACCATTGAGTTCAGTGGCTAGATCAGACAGATAGAGTTCAGCATCCAGAGAAGCAAGTTACTGAGGACCCATTATTTCCAAAAGGGCACTTTTCAGTGTTACATGTGTCGTGAACACCTGTCCACCAGTTAGAGGGCTGAGTCTGCCATCTGCTCTATTCCTTTAAAAATTAGAAACCTTGACTCCGCAGATATAAACCTCCTTACCCCTGTTAAAGATTCTTAACACCATTTTTTTCAAGCCTCTCAGATACAAAAAGAAAAAGCATTGTGGTATGGGGCTAATAGAAATCACTGAATATTTTGAATTGTAATCTCTTTAATCTACACTAACACTGTTAATGAGAAAATCTGTAGCAACATCTTTCATGGTCATAGCAACCACTAAGCCATAATTAAATTAGTTAAAATTTAAGCTGATGCCTGATAGATGAAAAAGAGTAACCGTTATTTGAAGAGTAGGTGTGGGAAAACATTCCAGACAGAGGGAACAAGCATATGCAGAGGTCCTAAGATAGGAAAATGAAGAGCTTTGGGTGATTAAGGATCTGAAAGAAAGCCAGCAAGAGTGGAAAAGAGGGGAATAATGAGTGAGGGGAGATGAACTTGGAGAGCTAAGCAGGGCCTAAACATTCAGGGCCTTGTAGACCTAGGTAAGGAGTTGTTTATTGTAGGTGCATTGGGAGGTCCTTGAAGACTTTTAAAAGATCTGACATGTTCCTATTTACATTTTTTAAAAATGACTCTGATGACTCTGTGGAGAACTTCTGACAAAGTAGAAGTAAGGGAATAGTTAGGAGGCTGTGCAGTAATTTCAGAAGCCATAGGTGATGGCTGGACCTAGAGTCCGGAGGAGATGGCAAGAAGTGGACAGATTTCTCCAGAATGGATCGGAATTACTGTTAAAGAATGAAAGTGAAGGCCAAGGAAGAGGAAGAAATAAAGAATGCTTACTCTCAGGTTTCTGGTTTGAGAAGCTGCAAGGAAGGCAGTGCCATTTACTGAACTGGGGACAACTTTGGGAGGAATGGATGTAGAGGCTGGGTGGTTTTCAGTGTTGTTTTTTTTGTGTGTGTCTGTTTTTTTATTGTTGATCCTATTACAGATCCTCCTCCCCCATTTCTTCCTCTTTGCCCTCCTCTAAGGTTTTAGTGTTGAACATGGTAACTTTGAGATATCTGTGAAACTACCAAGTGGAAATATGTAGGAAGCAGCTGAGCCTATGAAAGTGTAGTTCTGTAGGGTCTGAGCTGGAGATACCTATCTGGGAGTTTTCAGCATTTTTGAAACAATAGGAATGGATAAAGTCACTTAGGGAGAGTGCAGAAAAAGAAGGGGTCTTGTATAGAACTTTTTTTTTTAAATTTCAGAGAGAAAGGGAGATACAGAAACATCAATGATGAAAGAGAATCACTGATCAGCTGCCTCCTGCATGCTCCCCCCACCAGGGACCGAGCCCACAACCCGGGTGTGTGCCCTGACCAGGAATCGAACCATGACCTCCTGGTTCACAGGTTGACACTCAACCACTGATTCACACCAACTGGGCTAGAACACTTTAAAAACCTCATTTAACAGTTAGATAGATAAAAAGGAGACTAAAGGGATTAAGGACCAGCTACAGTGGTAGGATCACCACAAGAGTGTGGAAGTCCCCGTTTATTGGTTTTAATGATGAGGGAAAGTGTCAGATATTGCTAAAGAGAAGGGACATTTCATCCTGAAGCAGGAGGAAAAGAGAAAAGTGGCACAAAAGCAGGCAGTTTTATAGATGAGAAGATGAGGGAACTTTCCTCTGATAGTTTCTGGTTTCTTTAAGAAATAAAAGAGTTGGGGAGTGGGGGTGGGAGCAGGTAGAAGAACAAGGGAAAGGTAAGCAGTATTGCTAGGGGAGTGTGAGAGGCAGGTGCCAAACAGATCAAGTAGTCAATAGAGATTGCTCAGTTTTTAATTTAGTATTAGTACTCACAAAGCATTCTTTTTTAAAAAAAGTTATATTTTTATTAGATAAGTAATACATGAGCGCATTCTCCTTTTATTTTTTTTTAATATATTTTTTATTGATTTCAGAGAGGAAGGGAGAGGGAGAGATAGAAACATCAATGATGAGAAAGAGTCATTGATCGGCTGCCTCCTGCATGCCCCCCATGGGGGCGAGCCCGCAACCCAGGCATGTGCCCTTGACTTGAATCGAACCTGGGACCCTTCAGTCCGCAGGCCGACGCTCTATCCACTGAGCCAAACCAGCTAGGGCCATTCTCCTTTTAAAATTTCAAATGTTACAGATAAGGCTTGGGCCCTTTTACTCTCTCCTCCCAAAGAAAGTCTGAGTCCCTCCTCCCTACCCACTGGTAGCCACTGTTTTGAAGCTGATATATATGTATTCTTCTGAGCTTTTTCCTGTCTCCTGTGTACACCCTTGAAGCATTTGGTAGCATTTTATGTATACATATTGTTCTGAAACTTGCTTTTTACTCTTATCATTTATTGCCGGTTTACCCAGGTTACTATATGTAGATCTGCCTTATTCCTTACAAATCCTTTCAATGAAAAAGAAAATTTAGTAAAAATTCCAGAATTGCAAATGATACTAGATAGACTATACCACAAATAATTATGAGTGCTGATCACTAATGAAGCACATGTGCATGTGCTGGAAGGAGCATCATCTAAATGGGTCAAGCCAACCTAGGGAAGATTATCCTCTAATCTAGTGGCTGCATGCACAACATTCACAAAAAGCTGGACAATTAAAGGGAAAGGGTGCTATTTTAGGCTCTTGGAAAATAATGTCCTTGGTCTAGGTCAGTGGTCGGCAAACTGTGGCTCGGCAAACCGCGGCTCGCGAGCCACATGCGGGCGCGCACGTACAGTGCGATTGAAACTTCGTGGCCCGTGGGTAGAAGTTGGTATTTTGTGGAAGAGCCGGTATTTTGTGGAAGAGCCACACTGAAGGGGCCAAAGAGCCGCATGTGGCTCATGAGCCGTGGTTTGCCGACCACGGGTCTAGGTTATTTGACCTACTAAAATGTTTTCTTCTGTGTGAAGACAAAGATTAAATTAAAGTTAGAATTCGCTTATTAATCATTCATCTGTTTTAGGTAAAACACCATGGGAGTAATATATCTGAAAAGTTAAGTATTAAGAGTATTAAACAGGAAAAAGGCGTGCCCACCCCTGCACGTGTTGCTTCTCTCCCCTTGTGAGACAGCCCGGCAGGTGCTTCTCCTCTAATAAAGCCTGTAGTCCTGGTTTAAAAAAAAAAAAAAAAAAAAAAGAGTATTAAACAGAAATGGGACAGATACTGTTAAAAGTCAGTGTATAAATATCAGACCTGCCACCACTCTCCAGAAGCTACTCATCCTTCAGTATCTTTGCAGTTTTTCCAGGACCAAATAAATTTTACCCTTTAATGGAAAATGACTATTATGAAAGCCTTCTTTTAAAGGGTGTTCTTTTTTTTTTTTTTTAAATATATTTTATTGATTTTTTTTTTACAGAGAGGAAGGGAGAGGGATAGAGAGTTAGAAACATCGATGAGAGAGAAACATTGATCAGCTGCCTCCTACACACCCCCTACTGGGGATGTGCTCGCAACCAAGGTACATGCCCTTGACTGGAATCGAACCTGGGACCCTTCAGTCCACAGGCTGACGCTCTATCCATTGAGCCAAACCGGTCAGGGCTAAAGGGTGTTCTAAAGGAACGAATGGAGAGAACCTGCATGCTTTTTTCTAAAAACAGTTCTTTGGAATATCTTCCTTCTTTTAGTTAGTTTTTTAAGAAATAAGCCCTTTTCTTTTTTTTTTTTTTTTTTTCCTGTTCATCAGATTATTTATTCACTTGATTTTTAGATTCACTTGTTGATAAATGCGTATTTGTTGTTCATAATTTGTATCTTTACCTTTTTCTTCTTCTTCCTCTTCTTCCCTTTTCTTAATACTTAGTAGAATATAACTCTTTAGAGCAGCCAGTATTTCTTAGGATGATTCTGTTCCTTTTTTTTTTTTCCAGAGAGGTAGCGAGAGTGAGAGATAGATAGAAACATTAATGATGATTGAGAACCATTGTTTGGCTGCCTCCTGCACGCCCACTACTGGGGATTGAGCCTGCAACCCAGGCATGTGCCATTGACCGGCATTGAACCCAGGACCCTTGAGTCTGCAGGCCGACTCTCTATCCACTGAGCCAAACCAGCTAGGGCTGACCCAGTTCTTTGTGAGGAAATATCTCTCCTCTTAATGGAAATATAATATTTTTTTAGCTGTAGAGTCATTCTTCCAATGAATATTTATTAACCCTCTGCCATTAGCCAGGTGCTTTTCTGGGCACTGGGGACACCGCCATGAACAAAGCAGACAAAACCTTGTCTTTGTGATACTGACTTTGTGGAAGAGTTAGGCATACAATACACAAGTAAAGATATGTAGAATGACTGTTGGTGGTGAGTACTTATGAGAAAAAAAGAAACAGGGAGGCTGACAATGAGTGGGTGGAGAGGTTATAATTTCAAATAGGGTAGCCTTGGTGGGGCGATGACATTTGAATAGAGGCCACGAGGTGATTTTGCTGATTCTGTGAGCATTAGAAAAACTCAGACTGAAACCAGCCACAGCTGCTGCTCAGGGGAAGAACCACTGCAGGGGTGACTCAAGTAGACAAGTGGACAGAGAACTAACAGGAAGGAATAGGTCTTCTTCCTCCTCTAGCCCTGTTGTCTCCCCCTAGCCCCACTTTAGGCAGAGTCTACCTGGGATCAGCTGGCAAAGCAGAAACATGGTTTACAGACTCCTGTCCTCAGCATCACCCAGCAGGGTGTAGAAGGGTGGCATTGGAGCTGACAGGCAATAGTTTAACACTGGGCATACTTACTTCAAGTATTATAAAGTTGATGTTCAAAAGATTAGTGCCCATGTCACATGGCTAAGAAGTGCAGAACCTAGGCTTGAACACAAGAATTTGACACTATATCTCTAATCTTTCTCCTAAGCCATAAAAATTCTCCAAATTGAAAAGGTACCAACTTCTAGCCAAGAAGTAGACTAGAAATGAAAACCACCTCCTGCTTGCCCTAACCTTCCTTTTTAGGCTTGCTTCCCAAAATCGCTTTATACATTTTACTCTCCTCTGATCCTGCAGCTGTGTGCACCTTACACTCCACCATGCCCCTCATCCCCATGGCTTTTGTTAATGTCCTTTTCTTTGTCTGCAGTACCTTTTCCCTCTTTCCCCCTATACTCTATCTGATCCTCCAGATTCTTCCATTCTTTGACTCAGCTTAAATATCACTTCCTCCAGGAAGCCTTCTGGAGTTACTTTACAAACTCAAACCAAACAAAAGCTCTCTTCATTTGGATACCCTTATCACTTGGTATTTGTATTTCTTTTTTTTTAAAATTTTTTAAAAAATATATTTTATTGATTTTTTACAGAGAGGAAGGGAAAGGGACAGAGAGTTAGAAACATTGATGGGAGAGAAACATTGATCAGCTGCCTCCTGCACACCTCCTACTGGGGATGTGCCCGCAACCAAGGTACATGCCCTTGACCGGAATCGAACCCGGGACCCTCTTGTCCGCAGGCCGAAGCTCTATCCACTGAGCCAAACCGGTTAGGGCATTGTATTTCTAATGACCACTTTCTACTTCATATTAGTTCTCCTCTCACTGCTTATTTAAACGTTGGTGTTGGCCAACATTTCCATCCTCAGGTTTTTGGGGTTTTTGTCGTATTGCCCACACTCTCCTCAGGCAGCCTCATTCATATGCAAGGCTGCACCTGCCACTTCTGTGATATTGGTGGCTCCCATATCTTCATCTCCAGCCCAGCCTCCTTACCAGGTCTCCAGATAAATTTACCCACCTGTTTCCTGGACATTCACCTGCCCTACTACCCCTTAAACTCAGTGTGTCTAAGAGAGATTAGTTTTCTTTTCCTAAAACACTCTCCTCCTCGATGTTCCCTATATTGATGAATGGCAGCAGCAGCAGCAGCATCTACCCAGACAGGCAGCACTCCAAACAGAAGTCTTCGATTTGTTGCCCACAATACAGGCCATCACTGAGTTGATGATTCAGCCTCCTAAATCTACCAAGGCAGCCGCCTTGGTGCTGCTTCCTTAATTCTGCCCTTAATATCTCTAACTTGGACCTTGGCATTAGCTCATTAACTGCTGTTATCTTTCTTCCTTCATTTTCACTCTATTTGCTACTGGAAGAATCCTTCCGAGCACTACTGATCATGGCACTCCTCTGCTCACATCCTTCAAGGCTCCTGTTGCCTGGTTGAAGCTCTTGACGTGCCTTTTTCACCTTGTTTCCCACCCTCCCCCGTGCTCCATCCCGTTCTCACTAGCCCCAGACTGTTTACCTCTCTGAGCATACCATGCCTGTTCCTTCCTCATGTGGCTAAAAACCCCTTCCTACGGTGTGTCTTTGGAGCCCAACACTTGGGATTTGGATTAAATCCCACCTCTACTACTTACTGGTGTGTGACTGCAAGCAGGTCACCTAAATCCTCTGAGCCTCAGTTTCCTTATCAAGAACAGAGTACCTGCCAGTTGCATCATCATGCAGTAACATATGATTAATGTTCTGGCACTGTGCCTCAGACTTCTTTGTTTTTCACTGCTTCCCTAATCTGACAAGCTTTGTCCTTATCTAACATTGTCTCCATCTGGTGCACCCTTGTTTTTTTTTTGTTTTGTTTTTTTTGTGTTTTTTTTTTTATATATATTCTTGGTGTTTTTAATTGCAAGCAACAGAAACACTGGCTCATTTGAGAAGGATATTGACACCTCCAGGGTCGCTAGTTGTAAGTATAAATGAAATCCAAGCTCTCAAGCTGTTTGTCTTCCAGCTGGTCTCTGGAGCTGTGTATTCCATGGGACATTCTACTATTTCATAAAGCCAGCCACTTCTGGTTATTGGGGTCCACAACAGGGCTAGCCAATCCGACATCCAGTTTCCTCTTTCTCTAAAGTTAGTCCCTTGGTCAGATGCTGTTATGGACTGTGTCTCCCCCACCCCCCAAATTCACATGTGGAACCCCTGCCCACCAATGTGATGGTATCTGGTGCACCCTTGTAAATTCTGTTTCTTCTTTTCCCCGTGGTCAGAATTAGGCATTCTTTCTCTGAGCTCTTATGGTAACTGATATTGTGACATACATGGGAGCAGCTCACAGGCAGGAATCAGCAGTTCTGTCTCCTTCAAAGTCTGCTGCCCATTATTTATGTACACATCCTCAGCTAAACTCACTGAAGCTTCTAGAACAGCGGTTCTCAACCTGTGGGTTGAGACCCCTTTGGGGGTCAAACGACCCTTTCACAGGGGTCACTGAAGACCATCGGAAAACACACATATAATTACATATTGTTTTGTGATTAATCACTATGCTTTAATTATGTTCAATTTGTAACAATGAAATTGGGGGTCATCACAACGTGAGGAACTATTAAAGGGTCGCGGCATTAGGAAGGTTGAGAACCACTGTTCTAGAAGGTGGAGTGTTTGATTTGTATCTTTAAGCAGCTAGAATATGCTGGGTGTCCTTAAGAATTTAATGAATGAGGAAGTTAACAAAGTACTCATTTCCACAGCTAAGAAAGTAATGATGAGGAGCACATATAGAAACAGGAGAAGGTATCAAAAAATTCTCTTGAGTTGTATGACAATAAAGCAATTCTTTGAGTCACAGATTTGTTGGTAAATTTCTGCACACCAGCTCTACTGAAAAACATTTGTTTTCCTTCATTCATTTTCTCTGTTAGCCCAAGTAGTACAATACTGGTCTCCTGTACACTGTTTAAAAACTCATAACTTTTTTTTTTTTTTTAAATATATTTTATTGATTTTTTACAGAGAGGAAAGGAGAGAGATAGAGAGCCAGAAACATCGGTGAGAGAGAAACATCAATCAGCTGCCTCCTGCACATCCCCCACTGGGGAAGTGCCCACAACCCAGGTACATGCCCTTGACCGGAATCGAACCTGGGACCCTTCAGTCCGCAGGCCAACGCTCTATCCACTGAGCCAAACCGGTTTCGGCAAAACTCATAACTTTTATATACAAGTGACTCTTCTGCATTTTCCCATTGGGAGAAGCTACTCAGATTTATTTCCTAGTGTCTTATCAGATTGAGTCTATAACTTTCTAAGGCAAATACTCTTTTTTTATTCTGAGTATATTTCAGGCAATAGGCTAAATTTAAGACCATAGTCAGCAGACTTTTATGCATAGTATCATAAATAACTTTATTTCTCAACTGAGAAAATATTAAATTTCTATATGTATGGAGAAAGTGGAGTTTTACCTCTATAGTTGCTTCAATTAAAAGAACTCTAAGATGTATATGAAAAGAGTTAGGGGAGCCCTAGCTGGTTTGGCTCAGTGGATAGAGCGTTGGCCTGCAGACTGAAGGGTTCCGGGTTCGATTCTGATCAAGGGTACATGCCTGCATTGTGGGCTTGATCCCCAGTAGGGGGCGTGCAGGAGGCAGCCGATCAGTGATTCTCATCATTGATGTTTCTATCTCTCTCTCCCTTTCCCTTCCTCTCTGAAATCAATAAAAATAATTTTAAAAAAAAGAAAAAAAAAGAGTTAGGGGAAAGATCGGTCAGACTCTTCCAGGCATGACCTATATATAGAATAACTACACTCTGTGTAGTTACAATGCTATACTGTACTATTCTTGTTCTCTTTGCTCTCCCAAAGTCCCTGTCACTCAGGACTTTGTTACAACTGCTCTTTGTTGCTCCCAGGAGCGGCTGTTCTGAAACTACGGCCCATCCCCTTCCAACCCTCCTACTTCCTATGAGGTCTCCCCTGCACATCCAGGAGGGCTTCTTCCTGGGTTCTTGATGAGCCAATGAGACTTTGTTCCCTCCACTCTCCTGCCCCCCTTGCCCATTCCCCTCTCTTCTCCACTGGTGCACCCTTGTGGCCCATACTGTAGGAGCCAAGCTCCGGGTGTTGGGCTGTGGTAAGAGGAACTGGTTCTTCTTCATTTCAGTTATCACTTACAACTCCAACAGAGGGTCTTTATTAAGGATAGTTTGGTTCTATCCTATTATAGTGTATGGGTTAGTACATGATCTGGGAATCTAACCATCCTTTATAAAAAGGATCAAATAGTATTTATTTTCTGGCAACTTGATTTCTTTCTTGTTCTCAATAAAATGTGAGAGGGAAATGTACATAGCTCACAAGTAAGAAGCAGCATTGGGAATTAGTGTCAAATTTATTTGTCTTTTAATTCCAAATACCATATAACAGGCTTTTCCCTCCCATCAGACTGACTTTAACATCATTTCCGGGGTGAATAACCTAACATACATGAACTATGAGGCCCCTGTGGACTTTTCTGATATTTACCACTCTAATGAAGAATATTTCAGGAAACTAGAAGAGCTGAAGACTGCCCACATGGAAACTATGGCAAAGTTAGAGAAAATGTACCAGAATAAATTAAATTTAAAGAAAGTACAGCCAGTGATCATCAGGGACGAAGCTTCCAGTGTCTCTTCCATGTAAGTTTGTACATAATCTTATTTGTGGACTGTAAAATAAAACGTATACTTAAAAGTGCAGAACAAGCCCTGGCTGGTGTGGCTCAGTTGGTTGGGCATCGTCTCACATACTGAAGAGTTGCTGGTTTGATTCCCAGTCAGGGTACATGCCCAGGTTTCGGGCTCAATCGCCTGACGGGGGCATGTAAGAGGCAGCTGATTGATGCTGCACTCTCACATGAATATTTCTCTCTCTCTAAAAATAAATTTAAAAATCTTAAAAGAATAAAGTACAGAACAAAATTATTTCAGAATATTTTCTCTCAAATATCCCTTTGTACTTGTAATTATATATGGAGGTGCAATTTTATTCAAAATGTTTACTGGCTTATCAACCTACCAGGTGGCTTCTTGCTTTGAGGGTCATTAGGTGGCCATTTGGTCTTTTCTTTCTGACCTATCGTTCATACAACTGTAGACATGTACCAGAATATTTTTAAATGATGAATATTAAAAATTTAAAAGACCTTTATAATATGTGAATTAACATGAGCTTATTAAAGATATAGTATAAATTGTTTAGAACTAAAAGATAAATCTGATTAAGTTTTCAAAATAGTCTTTAATTTCAAGACCTATTTCTGTGATAAACTGGCTTATTTTGAAACTTGAGGCAAGTCCCTTAACTCATCCTGTGGGTCAGCACTGATTGCATATCTCCTGCGTGTCAGACCTTGCGTGGACACTAGGAAGTCAAAACTGAGATGCCCTCAAGGATCTCAAAGACTAGCTGAGCATGAAAAATTGCAATACAACATTATAGAGACAAGAAAAAGCAGTTGATCGTGTCAGAGTGTCAGTGGAGGGACACAGGAAGGAATTTTCTACTGAAGTCATATCTGGGTTCAGTCTTAGGGGTGTGTGTAGCTGCAGCAAATGTAGGAAGCAAGGAGTGGCCTTCTAGGCAGCCGAAACCATGTGTGCAAAGGCATGGCGGCATGAGGAATGGTGTGTGTGAGGAACTTCATGTGATTGGATGTGATGTAAAATGGTGATGGGGGTAGGGAAAAGTGAGAGGTGAAACTGGAAAGCTAGGCAGGGGCTAATATTAAAGGACTCTGTAATCTGTATTTGACTTCATAACAATGACAAATCATGGGAAAGTTTCAAGAAGGAGAGTGACATGATCAGATGTATATTTTAAAACGGTGTCTATGGAAAACATGTGGAGAATTCAATTCAGAGGTTAGACACAAGAAGCCTCAACTGTCTCATATTCCTCCCTTATAAAATAAGGGAGTCAGAGTAGATAATTTATAGGCATTTTCCAGCTCTATCCTAAATAAAAGTGATAATTTTTACAAGCCGTATCCAGCTCCTATCTTAAATCTGATTATACCTTTTAAAAAATATATATATGTATATATTTTATTGATTTCAGAGAGGGAGGGAGAAGAGAGCGATAGAAACAATGATGAGAAAGAATCATGGATTGGCTGCAGCCTGCATGCCCCCTGTTAGGGTCAAGCCCACAATCTGGGGATCGAACCATGACCTCCTGGTTCATAGGTCTGATGCTCAACCACTGAACCACACCATTCGGGTTAATTGATTATACCTTGATATAAGAAAATATCTAATTCTTAATTCTTATATTTGGTCACACACAACTGAAAGTGTAACCTAACCTAAATTATTCTTCTCACTTAGGTGTGTATCAGAAAAGAACTATCACCCTATCTCGTTAATCACATCACTTTCAGAACCTGATTTAGGTCATTCTTCCTCCTTGATTGTGTCTTCCTCTGAAGATGAGCTGCCCAACTTAGAAAAAGACTATCCTGAGAAAAGCAGAATGATGACCTATGCCAAGGAGCTCATCAACAACATGTGGACCAACTTTTCTGTTAAAGATTACATTCAGTGTGAAGGTGCTGACTTCCCAGCAATTAAAAAAACAGGGAAGAAAGCAAAAGAATGGGTGCCAAAGATTACAGTACCTGAGCCTTTTCAAATGATGATTAGAGAACAGAAGAAAAAAGAAGAGAACATGAAATATAAATCAGATATTGAAATGGTACACAAACTGCTCAAAAAACAAGAAGATTCAGAGTGTAAGAAAAAATTCCGAGCCAACCCAGTTCCAGAATTTGTCTTTTCCCCCCTTTATCATGACATAGTCAAGGAAAATGAAGAACGAAGGAGGATTATGAAGGAGAAAAACAAAGAAGCACTTTTGGCCTCACAAAAGCCATTTAAGTTTATTGCAAGGGAGGAACAGAAGCGAGCAATCCGGGAAAAGCAGCTGAGAGACTTTATTAAGTCTAAAAAGAAAACAAATCGATTTAAAGCCAGACCTATACCTCGATCTACTTATGGTTCAACTACCAATAACAGGTTAAAAGAAGAAGAGCTCTTTAGAAACATTAAGACACAGCTGAGAGCCCAAGAACTTTTACTGAATTCATCCCCTCCGCCTTATAGTCCACCTCACAGAAGTTTTGCTGCAAGGAAGCCCAAAGCTCCCAGACAGGCTGAACAGTTGAAGTATAAGTGCAAGTCTAGGAGCCCGATTGCTGATTTTGGAGAACCTCCTGAGAGATATCAGAAGCACCTCCCAGAACAGAAAAGTCCAAAAATCCTTTTAGTTTACAAACCATCTGATCTTCATGCAGCCTCACATGCATCCACTAAAAGAGAGAAAAATTTGGCAGATAATAAAGCAGAGGAAGAAAATTTGAAAGAAGCACATTGGGCTTATCAGTCTCTAAGGCACAAGTCACCAGGAAGAAGTCCAAATGCAAAGCGTGTGCCTTATAACTGCAGCCCTCCAATGCCCACAGTATCTTCCAGAGGAAGAGAACAAGCCACCAGGTAAATAACTAGGCTACTGCATTGACTGACCTATGATTGCTAAAATAGTGTACATGACATTATTAATTTTATGTTGGTGAATTTAAAAGTATGAAGAAATTATTATATCTGGTAATATATTTTACTTTATAATATAGAACATTTTGCAAAAGTGTGTGCTAAGAAATGTAATTTCCATTTTATGACTCCTTGGGAATAGAAAAGGTTAGAGTTGGCTTATTGATTTCCAAGTTCACAAGTCAGATCCTTCTCAAAAGGTTGCCTTTTTTCAGCCTTTGAGTTATCCTGTGTTAAATCTTTGCTAAGCAACATTCTCATTGGCTTAAAGCGAATTAAGCCTTAGTTTGTTGCCCTCAGGAGATCACTTGAGGAAAAGAAAATGTTGGAAGAAGAGAGAACTCGGATCCTAACTAAGCAGAAACAAAGAATGAAAGAATTGCAGAAACTCCTGACAACCCGGACTAAGGCTTATGACTCACATCAAAGTTTAGCTCAAATATCTAAATCCAGAATAAAATCTCTCAGGTATCATGAAAGAATCCTGAACCTCTAGGCCATTGGTTTTCAAACTTTTTAAAAATCAAGTTACCAATATATGAACAAATTAAGAAGAATATTAGTGTTTTAGTTTCTGGATTCAAGTTATTATCAGTTACTTATACTTAATACACACACACACACACACACACATTCTCTCATTCACCTCATGATGAGAACCAACATATATATGTATACACACCTGATAGTGAGGACCATGAAGCTATGTTATTGAACAGAAATGTTTTATATTGTGGCTATAGTTAATATCTTATATTGGCATTTTAACTCTTTTTCTTTATATTATTTTTGATTGCACAATATACTAGTAATATTGAGAAAAATATTGAGGCACAGATATAAAGCTTTTTCAACAACTTGTCATGTAATGTCAGAATATTCTTCAACAAACAGATATGTAAAAGATTTTTGTTCTAAGATTTACATGAAGTCTGATAGCACAGATTAACACTGGTGTTAAGTAATATCAATTATGTGAAAGTGTCGATTAACAGGTGTGTTAATGTTTAGTGGTATGGGTTGCATTTTTTCAGTTTTAATAAAAATAAATAAAAATATTCATAGAACCCCTTTACAGAACACTGGAATTCTGCAGAATAAAGTTTGAAAACCAATGTTCCAGAGGAACATTTTTATGTTGCAAATAAACATTAAAATGTTTAAGTAGGAAAATAACTCCCCCAAAGCTGGGTAAGTAATATTTATTAATTTTTAATCTGACCTATAATATTCCCCCAAATCTATATTTCCTTTTAATTAGAGGCCCAGTGCAATCCAGGACCCCACCCTGGCTGGGGAGGGCTCCAGGGCGCGTTCGGCCTGACTCACCAGTCCTGATCTGCTGGACCCCAGCAGCAAGCTAACCTATCAGTTGGAGCATCTGCCCCCTGGTGGTCAGTGCGTGTCATAGCAACTGGTTGAAGGGTAAAACTAACGGTCAGACACTTACCATATTAATTAGGCTTTTATTATATAGGATTCCTTATAATGTCTGTCAGTGTCAGACATTATAAGGAATATAGCTCCTTATATCAATTCATTGGTAGAAGGAGCTTAATTTGATGAACTTGAGCAAAAATATTCCTTAGAAATATTCATTCATCCTTAAAAAGTAAACTGGATTTTTAATAATACCAACTTGTATATAATTAAACATAGTTATAATTTTATAGTATAATTATTTTCTCTAATCCATGAAATCTTATCATCTTGGTAGAGTATATTTTACATAGAGAAATAGCATAGTTTAATTCATTATTGGATCTTGCCCAAATATTAAGTACACTTACTGTGAATTTATGTACTTGATTCCTATTTTTCTATATATATTATAGTCCCATACACCTCATTTCTCCTCATCCCATTTAATTAACTTTGCCACCAACCTACAGCAGTTCTCATTTAAGGGACTAAAGAAGAACAAGTTCTTATTTTAAAAAAAAAACTTCTTAAAAAGAACATACCTATTTGGGACCAAATTTTTTTGGTTTTATACATTTACATATGAGATAAGAGGACATTCGTTCATTCATCTTTTCAGGCCAATTTGAAGCCCTGTAAAACATTATGTCTTGAAGATTTCAGAACCTTCAGAGTACAAAGACTGCTCCCAGGATGTAAAATGTGTGCTCTCAGAACCTAGAATTTTTAAAAAATATATATTTCATTTATTTCTTCACAAAGAGGAAGGGAGAGGGATAGAGAGCTAGAAACATCGATAAGAGAGAAACATCGATCAGCTGCCTCCTGCACACCCCCTACTGGGGATGTGCCTGCAACCAAGGTACGTGCCCCTGACCGGAATTGAACCCGGGACCCTTCAGTCCACAGGCTGACAGTCTATCCACTGAGCCAAACCAGTTAGGGCAGAACCTAGAATTTTTATTCCATATTCCATAAAAATTTACCAGTCTAGAAAAGGAATGGTGGTCAACTGTAAATTGTGCTCATAATTTAATTTCTAATTTGCCATCTAAGCTAAAATGTTATATATGCAAGTTCTTATTTCTTTTTAAAATTCCACTCCTTTTATTTAATTTTAGAAAGAGTGAAAAGGAAAGGATGAGAGAATACCGACGAGAACTAGAAGAAATAGAAGAAAAATTAAAACACAGGCCACTACTATTTCAAAGAGTTGCTCAGGTTGTGTTTGTTGGAATTTAAGAGCTCCTGTCAGTTGTTGTGTGTGTTTTTTTTTAAACATATACAGCTCTTAACTTACAGTCCATTTTTCTTATGTGCTATATAATGTACTAAGACATATTGTTTCTGTGACAGCTTCATCAAGCCAGTCAAGTAAGTAATTTTGCCAAAATCTAAGACTGAATTTTGTTGATGAGGCACGTAAGCTTAATAAAGAACATACTACTGATCAAACCTTTTCGAAAGTATAGTTCCACAACACGTTTTTAATGGCTGGTGTTTATTTCATACCAGCTTGGCCAAATATTAAGTTAAGGCTTCATAATATGATTTGGAGGTCTTTGAAGAATTAAAAAATGAAACAAAATGGCTAATTGAATCAGATTTATTTCTGCCAGTGGGTTTGTTTGCTTGTTTTTGTTTTTTGGGGGGATATAATTGACATACAGCACTGAATAAGGTTAAGGTGTACGACATAATGACTTGACATGCATAAATTAAAAAATTATTCCACAGTAAGTTTAATTAACATCCATCACCTCCTATACTTACCCCCAATTGTTTTTCCTTGTGATGAGAACTTTTAGGTTTATATATCCATACTTTCAAATACCCCATACATAGTTACCATGTTGTATATTACATCCCCGGTATGTAACTGGAAATTTGTACCTTTTGACCACCTTCATCCAGTTCCTCCTGGTAACCACAAATCTGATCTCTTTATTTTTTTAAATTTTAGATTCCGCATATAAGTGAGATCATACAATATTTGTTTTTCTGTCTGACTTATTTCACTTAGTATAACGCCTTCAAAGTCCACTGCAAATGGCAGGATTTCCTTCTTTTTATGGATGGATAGTATTCTATTGTGTATATATGCCACATTTTCTTTATCCATTCATCTTTTTTTTTTTTTGATATATTTTATTGATTTTTTACAGAGAGGAAGGGAGAGAGATAGTTAGAAACATCGATGAGAGAGAAACATCAATCAGCTGCCTCCTGCACATCTCCTACTGGGGATGTGCCCGCAACCCAGGTACATGCCCTTGATCGGAATCGAACCTGGGACCTTTCAGTCCGCAGGCCGATGCTCTATCCACTGAGCCAAACCGGTTCCGGCTATCCATTCATCTTTCAATGGACTCTTAAGTTGTTTCCTTTCTTGGCTATTGTAAATAATGCTGCAATGAATGTGGGGAGCAGATATCTCTTTGAGGTAGTGATTTTGTTTTCTTTAGATATATACCCAGAAGTTAGATTGCTGGATCATATAGTTTTATTTTTAATTTTTTGAGAAACCTCTATACTATTTACCTAATGACTGTACTTATGTACATTCCTACCAATAGTGCACAGGGCTTCCGTTTTCGCCACATCCTCATTAGCATTTATCTCTTGTCTTTTCAATAGCTATTTTAACCAGGGTGAGGTATCTCATTGTGAAATATCACCTAATGATTTGCATTTCCCTATGATTAGTCATGTTGAGCACCTTTTCATGTACCTGTTGAGCCATTTGAATATCTTCTTTGGAAAAATGCCTACCCAGTCCTTTGCCAGCTTTTAAATTGGATTAGTTGGGTGTTTTGTTTTGTTTTGTTTTGTTTTGTTTTGTGTTTGCTATTGATTTGTATGAGTACTTTATATATTTTGAATATTAATTCCTTATCAGATATATGATTTGCAAATATTTTTTCCCATTTGTAGGTTGCCTTTTCATTTTGTTGATTGGTGTTTTTGTTTTTTTAAAATATATTTTTTATTGATTTCAGAGAGGAAAAGAGAGATAGAAACATCAATGATGAGAGAGAATCACTGATTGGCTGCCTCCTGCACGCCCCCTACTGGGGATGGAGCCCACAACCCGGGCATGTGCCCTTGACTGGAATCGAACCTGGGACCCTTTGGTCCGCAGGCTGATGCTCTATCCACTGAGCCAAACCAGCCAGGGCAATTGGTGTTTTTTTAAGTGAGTTATAATTTTCAATCTTATCTATAATTACTGAAAGGATCTTCTTTTTATCAGAAAAACTAAATTTTCACTCAGTTTTACAGTCTTTCCATTAAGAGAAATTTGTCAATTTCAGATCATCTTTTCCTTAGTACTCATAAGGGAGAGGTTCCTAGGGGTGACATAGCTTAACAATAGATAATCACTGGAGGCTACAGGTCATTGAGGACAAGGGGCATGTATTATGGGCTAATCTACATATTATAATCTCTCAAAGTTATGGGAACCCTTTACTTACTGATTTGGATATAATTTTATGTAGTGCTTGTCATTTTAAGGGGTGGGTTTCTTTTAACATCTCAGTTTCAACTTTAGGGGGGAAAATCATAAGCTGTTTTATATTGCTCAGTGTAAAGTGATTGACTTTGGCTCAAAGCAGCTAACTGCATGTTTTTAATGTCCTCTTATCTGGTGGGTATTGAACCAGATTTCCCACTGGCATCTTATATTCATCTTGCCCCAAACTAGATCCTCCTCTTTGATTTTCTGTTTTAGTTGGACTACTATTTAGGATGACCGGGAACCACTGTTGCCCCCACATTCAATTGTCACTGAGAGAGCTGACAAATTTTATCCCTGTGTAATTTTTGGATCTTTCTCCATTCTTATGATGATATGCCAGGGTGAAACCTATCTGAGTTAATATAACGGTTTGACTCGTTTGCCTGTCCTGTTCTTTGCAAAGCCACCCATTATATCTTTATTTTGCCGTTCTCATTCCCTTGCAAAAATATCAACCCTGGATAGGTAGTTAATAACCCTTGATAACGGTGACAATCATGCATTCACCGAACCATTCGTTCTCATTGTCAGTGAATGGTATCAAGAGGTCTTGTCATTGACTTCTCAATAAAATTCTACAAGCTTGTTAGTCCTATATTGCAGAGGAAGAAACTGAAGTTCAAAGAAGAGCCCTAGCCAGTTTGGCTCACTGGATAGAGCGTTGGCCTGGGGACTCAAGGGTCCCAGGTTCGGTTCCGGTCAAGGGCATGTACCTTGGTTGCGGGCACATCCCCAGTGGGGAGTGTGCAGGAGGCAGCTGATCGATGCTTCTCTCTCATCGATGTTTCTAACTCTCTATTCCTCTCCCTTCCTCTCTGTAAAAAAATCAATAAAATATATATTTTTAAAAAAGTTCAAAGAAGGTAAGTAATTCATAAAATTTACAGTTATTAAATAATGGAACTGGGATTGGAACCCAAATCAATCTGCTTCCAAACACTTACCACTGAACTGTCCTGCTTTCTCTCAGAAGATAAACCACCTTAACATGGTATACAGAATCCTCTATGACCTGACCCGGTTAACCTCTTTATTTAATCTACCACTGTGCTCCCCCTCATGTCAAACTTTATACACCCTTTTACTCTCAGGCCATACCAGACTACTAGTTCCAAAAATCTTTATTCATGCTGTTTCTGTATAAGTACCGCGCGCTAACCGATTGCGCCACTGGAGCTCCTCATGCTGTTTCTGAACATCCTTAGAGCCTCTTCCTATCTTTCCTCCTACTCTTTCAAGTCTCAGTGTAAAATCACTTCTTGCAATGTTTCCCCTGCTTGGGTTGGTGCCCTTTCCTCTGTTTATTTTATTTTATTTTATTACCTTTTGCATACCTTTCTCTTTGCTCCTACCACGTTGTGTGGAAATTATTTTAATGATCTCTCTTCCCTTCCAACTAGTAACTTTTTAAAAAAATATTTTTATTGATTTCAGAGAGGAAGGGAGAGAAAGACAGAAACATCAATGATAGGAGAGAATCATTGATCTGCTGCCTCCTGCACGCCCCACACTGGAGATCAAGCCCACAACCCGGGTATGGGTCCGACTGGGAATGAACCTGGACCTTCTGTTCATAGCCCTTCGCTCAAACACTGAGCTGGTCTGTTTTTTATTTTGTTTTAAATATGTTTTTATTGATTTCAGAAAGAGGAAGGAGAGAGAGAGAGAGAGAGAGAGAGAGAGAGAGAGAGACATCAGTGATTAGAGAGAATCATCGATCTGCTGCCTCCTGCATGCCCCCCACTGGGGATCGAACCTGTCCCTACCAGGAATCGAATCCAACTGTGATCTCCTGGTTCATGGGTCTATATTCAACCACTGAGCCACACCGGCTGGGCAACTAGTTAATTTTAAAGGGAGTGATCAAACCTTTGTAATCCCGACACCTAGGACAACATCATGCACAGAGATGTTAATAAACACTTGTTGAACCAAAACTGAACAGTTATGATCAAATTAGCCATTTTGACCTGTCATTTTCTTTCTGGGATTAGCCCAGGCTGAGAGCATTACCCTGATGAATTAGTGATGAGTCTCAACATTAACAAGCAGTTTTGCCCTGTTGTGTAATTGTGAATTCCCACTGTTTCTAAGCACCAGAGAAAATGTGGCAAAACAAGTGGTGAGTATGAAATTAAACCCATAGATAAATTTTAAACATTGAAAACTAGGTTAGTTTCATAGCTGATATTTCTTCTATCAGCATATGCCCTCACATATGCTGTTCCCTTTGCCTAAAATAACTTTCGTGTATACCCCCTACCTTCCATGAGGACTTGTCACAAAATGAGTACTTAGTAATTATTAAATAAATGAAAGAATTACTATAAACCAAACTTACAGTTATAAAAATTATAAAAAATAAGCATTTTTTCATTCATTCTAGGTGCTGATAGACAAACTTTCATCACTTGTTATTTTGATTTCATGAAAGAGACAATTTTTTTACAGTATGTTTAATAGTAAAATAAACAATTATGAATCTATTTTAACTGTTCCTTTTATCTCTTTATTATAATTCTTTTCCATGGTGAAATGCAAGGGGTAAATCTTTGTTTTAATGAACAATTACACACTATTCACCTTGATATAAAATATTAAAAGGTATTTCCTTATACAGAATGACTGGCAGTGCTCACTATTGCTTTAGTTTTGTTAACAGAAATTAGTACGTTTTTCTTGCAGTCTATTTTGCTGTGACTGTTGGTGCTAGTTAACAGTTGTTATGTAATAAATTCACTCACAACTTTAAGCATTACCCATTTGTAAGTGTTAATTGTGGTCTTGCTGCTATTGAATTATCCCAACAGTAGGCCTATGATCCAGTACAGAACAAACCATGTTATCCTGTTTCTTGGAAATTACAGCTTGCTGAGTAGATGTTAAATTGAATTTTAAAGCAGATTTAGGTGAAGGTTTATAAACACTAACTTTGATTAGTATTTTAATCTATTTTGCTTAAATCAGAATATGCCATTCTTTTTAAAAAATATATATTTTTATTTCAGAGAGGAAAAGAGAGATAGAAACATCATTGATGATAGAGAATCATTAGTCCACTGCCTCCTGCATGTCCCACACTGGGGATCGAGCCCCCAACCCAGAATTGAACCTGGTACCCTTCAGTCTGCAGGCTGATGTTCTATCCACTGAGCCAAACTGGCTAGGGCAGAACATGCCATTCTTAATGCATTCAGTTAGGTTTGGGATTTCTTTACAGTCTTTGGAGCACAGTTCTCATCTTCATACTTTGCCGTGCCTTTCAGTTCCCCCAAGGCTGGTCTGTTGGCATTCAGAGCCTCTGGATGCTTGTTCACTTTCTTTTCTAAAAAGTGTTATTCACCGTAAGTGCATTTTAGCAGCAGTTACAGTGTTCCTTTTTCAGTTTTCCAGAGTGTCAGAAAATGCACTGCTGATAGTTTTATCCATTATAACCAGTCTTTACTATTTTGATTTCTCCCATAGAACATTAGACTCCATGATCCCTCATTAACTGTAGTACCTGGATTGGGCAGATATCGGGCAAGAGCATTGCTGAAGTCAGGCTTTAGGCTACCTTCAAACTCCAGGATGACCCCTACCATTTAGATTAAAGCAGCATGGTGGAGTGGAAAAGACCCAGGAAAGGGTCAAGAGACTTGGTTCTACTGCTTACCATTCTTGTGGACCTTAAGCAAACTGCTTAAACTCAGTGAGGGTGACGGGAACATCTTGGTTTCTTTATTTGTTAAATTGGGGGGTGAGACTGGGTGCCACTAGAATCGGGCCGTTCCTAGTCATTTTGCTTTTGTTGGAGGTCCAGATGGCAATTCTTGGCCCTAGCTCATATCCACTCATAGGAGCTGAACGCAGACTAACGCCAAAGCCCTAATGCAAACCCCAGTTATCTTGTGGCTCCGTAAAGCCTGCGGTCTCAGGAACTGTGACAACTTCGACTTGCTTCCAGTATGAGAGGGTCATCATAATTCCCACAGATCCCAAAGCCAGGAAGTAACTTTCTGGAGATTTGAACCCCGTTCTAAATTCATGTGTTTTTTTTTTTTTTCTGTATCTATTGCTTCCTCCACAGAGTAAAGATAACAGCACTGATGATTGTATTATCTGTGATGGAGTAGAGATATGGCTTATAAAAAGCAGAAATTACAGTAGGCACATAAAAACCCTCTGAAAACCATCACATGAACTACTTTTTTTGTTTTGTTTTGTTTGTTAATCCTCACCTGAGGACATCCCTCCATTTACCTTTAGAGAGAGTGGAAGGAAAGGAGAGACATAGAGAGAGAAACATTGGTGTGAGAGAGACACTTCGACTGGTTGCCTCCTATACCCACCCCAAACAGGGCTGGGGATCAAGCATGCAACCGAGGTATTTGCCTCTGACTGGAATCGGACCCGGAACCTTTCGGTCCACGGGCTGATGCTCCATCCACTGAGCCCAAACAGCTAGGCCTCATATGAACTTATTTTCTTACTGATTTTTCCAGATATCCTTAAGCAGTCATAAAATAGGCACAGTGTAAAGAATAATTATATATCAAAATTCAAGTGGCCACCACCCAGGTTAACAAACAGAGCACTGCCAGCACCTCAGACCCGACGCGCCTCTCCCGGGTCAAACCCTCTCCCTCTTCCGTGGAGGTAACCACCATTCTAAATTTTGAGATAGGCATTTGCTTGTTTTTCTTTGCAGTTTACCACCTATGATTTATCCCTACATATAGTTTAGTTTTGCCTGTCTGGGGCCTTTTTGTAAATGAATCATATATATAATATATATATTATATACACATAAACACACTCTTGTATTTTGTTTCTTTTGCTCAGTATTATGTTTGTGAGATCCATCCATGTTGTGGTGTATAACTAGAGTTCATTTTCATTGCTTTATTTTACTCTTTTGTATAAATAGACTACAACTTATTTATCCATCCTACTTTGATATTTAGGTTGTTTCCAGTTTGGGGTTGTTACAAACAGTACTATTCTGAACATTTTTATACATGTCTCCTGGGGCACATGTAGTTTCTCTGGGTATATACCTAGGAATGGAATTGCTGGTCAGAAGGGATGCATATTTTCAGCCAACTGTGATTATTGAGCTTAATTTTCACTGGAGCTTTTAGCACATACATTTTTAATGGAAAGTTAAAGTCTTTTGTTCTCATCTAAAAAGGTTTGTCTTTCCTATAGAAAAATGCAAGAATGGCAGCAGAAAAGCATTATTCTAACACCCTAAAAGCACTAGGAATATCTGATGAGTTTGTTTCAAAGAAAGGCCAAAGTGGAAAAATATTTGAGTCCTTCAGCAATCAAGAGATGAAAAGTTTCACTGAAGAGAAAGAAAGGTAACGTATATAAAATGTCTGAATGGTATACCTCTGAAAAAATTCTTACTTGCAAGAAAGTAAAAATTCTGTTCTATAAGATTTTAAAATGAACTTTACCTAATGAAATACATGTGAACTGTTGTGAAACATATTGATATTTTGATATTTTTTGACACATTCAAATATTACATGGTGATGAAATATCTTGTTTTTAAGCAGAATAATTTAAGTTCTGACTGGCATAAATAATGAAAATAACAACATGCTGTCAAGCGAAGTTTAAAGAGTAAACCAAGTTTTGAAATAAATGAGTTCTCAGAGGAATATTTACTTTCCCAATTGGCACTTTTATAGGGTTTTCTTGATAAACTGGAGCTCATACACTTGAGGAAGACTAACTTCATGATGACATACATTGCAAAGGGTTTGTTTACCTTTAAACAAATCATTTTTCCTTTGAAAGATTGATACATTTTCCCCTCTAGCTTTAATGAAGAAGAAAATATAGAAGAAAGAGAGAATGGGGAAGAAAATTATTTTACTGAAACCAACAGCCGGGATTCTTGTAAGGAAAATGAAGCCGAAGCCGAAGAAGAAAGTGGAGAAGAGAAATCTGTTGAAGAATGAAGCAGAATCAGCAGGGCCTCCTTTCTGTGCCTGTGCTGTTATTTGCAGCATCCGGTATTAGCAGCTTTGCTTGTTTGGTTAGGAACATGGATGGGAAGGAACCCTTCTGATGTGTGCAGGGCTCTTTAGCAAAGTTATTTGTAGCCAAAAAGGCAAATCCAGCTGATTAGTCATTTAGTCCGAGTAAGGCTTTGCCTATTCAGTTTTTTAAATTGCTACATGTGCTCTGTTTGCAACTTTGCTCTTACTTGTATTTTTTAAAAGCAGTTGAGAATCAACAGCTGTCACAAACTGATTAGTTATTATGTAATTATTTTTTGGTAGAAAAAAATGGCTTAGCATTGAGAGCAAAGTATTGTCCTTTGGTGATTTGTTTAAAGAAAAATTTCTAGAAAGCATGACTCAATACATATTTTAAAATTGTACTGTTTGCCCATTCTTTTCCTCTGGAATACATCTCACAAAATGAACCCCCACAGTTGTTTTACTAGTTAAGTTTATCTGAACCATTTTTATTTTTATTTAATTTTTAAAATCTGGACCATTTTTTAAAAGTAATAAAATATAGAAAAAAATAGGTACTTGCAAATTTACATTTATTTCTGCACTGAAAGTTTATTAAATTATCCACCCTATTATCAGTTTTTTCTTTTTTATCTCTAGTTTTATTCTAAATTATTTTTGACATAGAAATTATTAGAAGTTTTTATACATATTTTTTAACCTTGTGTATTATGACAGATATAAATCATTATAGCATTCTGAATTATAATCTTAATAAATATCAAACTGGTTTTAAATGAGATGAAATTGTGCATAATAACTTGTCCAAGGCAAGTCTCCAAAGTAATTCAGGCTTATCCTTTAATATTAGAACCAGAATGTTCAATTTTTTACATATTATTGCAGACACACTTTTGTCTTTCTGAGAATGATGTTAATTTGATTTTATGACTATCATTTTTCCTCTATAAGAAAATTTTTTGTTGTAAAAATTTAAACCAGTCATAAAGATGTGATAGAGTGAGACATTTTCTTTTATAAAAATAATCAACTTATAAAGAGTATTAACTAATAAAGGTGTATAATAGCAGTCTTTACCTACTGGAAATTTATACTTTAAATGAAGAAATAAGGTGATTTTTCCTAATTAAGGGCAAATGTTTATTTGCTATTCCTTTTTTATAGTTTGTGTTAAACTATTTGCCACTACCATTAGATTGTAAACTCCTTGAGGGTTGGCATCATTTTAAAATCCATCTTTGTATTCCTTTAATATTTTGCACAAGATTGTGCATATCATAGGTACTTAATAAAGGTTCTGGATGAGTAAGTAGATGAATATGTTTTTATTTTATTAAATTTATTGGGGTGATATTGGTCAACATGAACATATAGGTTTCAGGTATGAATATGTTTTTTAATTATACTTATAGTTACTTTAAAATAAGTACACATGGGATTAAAAACATTTCCCTTCCAACTTATTGAGAACCTGTGAAACACAATTCATAAATTGTAATTTTTTTTGTGTGGAAGAATATTTATTTGGTAAATCACAGAGGTAGAAAAAGTAATTCCTAGAAGAAAGAGGCTTAGGAAACTAGTTCTAGAGGTAAAGGGAGGGCCCCTGGAGCTTGGAAGCAAGGAAGCTAATGGTAATGTGCCTGGAGCCAGAGGATGAGGAGGGGGAGAAAGGGAAAGGTACGGGCATGATCCCCGGAAGGAGAGCACCCACAAATTGTAATATTTTAATGTGGCTTACTCTCAAGGATTTGCTCCTCATCCATCTCTTCTCGGATTCATGGGGAGAGCGAAGGACTTGGTTTCAGAAGCAATGTTCAGTTTTCTTTAAAAATGGTAATAGTACCCATCCTGAGTGGCTATAGGAAGGATTAGATGTGTGGAAAAGCTCTTTGCAAACTAGGCTATTCAAATGACAGTGTCAGAGGACAGACTATTCCTGAAAAAACATTTAACTTTCTGCACCTTTTGAAAAATGAACTACAAAGTGATTTAAATATTATTTTGTTAGAAATAATATGTGATCCACTTTTTGAAGAGAGTGATCTGGTAAATACAGAGCCAAACTTAGAAGATACTGGTAATTTCAAGTAATTCTATGCAAAATCATTTTTTTTTTTTTAGAAAGCTATTAAATTGACAACTGAAAGATTTCTTTAGTGTGTGGCATTTTACAATAGAGGAGATAAAAGTTGAGAAGAAAAAGAATAAAATCTGGTGTATATAACTGTCAAAAATCAAGGAATAATATGCATGCTTATATTCAAGTCTGAAAAGATGGTAATGTAAAAAAATGGTAATGGAATTTGCCTCTGGGACAAGCAGTGGAAGACTTAGTTTTTGTTTCCCCCCCTTTCAACGTGTTTATTAAAGAAAAATATAAATGAGGCTTTAGTCTTGTTGGAAGCTACTTTCTAGTCACTGATTTATAGTATCCTGATAGCAAGAAAAATAGTTATATCTTTCTTTATACTAAAAAAAATACTTATACATTTTATACAGTTTATTTGAATCAGGATACAAATATTGCAGTTGGTTACTAAGTCTCAAGTCTTTGTTTGTTTGCTTTTTGTTATTTTTTTTTTCTTTATTGATTCAGGTATTATTAGTACATATGTGTCTTATCCCCCTATTGCCCCCGCCCACCCCCTCCCCTGCTCATGCCCTCACTCTCCTGGTGTCTGTTTCCATTGGTTATGTCTTAAGTCTCTTTTTAATATATCTTTTATTCCTTGCAATATTGTCTTTGAAGGGACCAGTCTTTTGTACTGTAGAGTATCTGCTCTGAATTTTGTCATTTAATGTGTTTCTCTGGTTCTCTGTGTTTCCTACAAATTAGTAGAGCTAAGCTTGATCAGATTCAAATATGATGTTTTTATTTTTTTTTTTAATATATTTTATTGATTTTTCACAGAGAGGAAGGGAGAGAGATAGAGAGTTAGAAACATCGATGAGAGAGAAACATCGATCAGCTGCCTCCTGCACATCCCCCACTGGGGAAGTGCCCACAACCCAGGTACATGCCCTTTACCGGAATCGAACCTGGGACCTTTCAGTCCGCAGGCTGACGCTCTATCCACTGAGCCAAACCGGTTTCGGCCAAATATGATGTTTTTAGCAAGAATACTTCATAGGTCATGGTGTGCATTTCCATTGGGAAGCACACAATGTCTAATGATCTGTTGTGCTGTTATCCACCATTGATCATTGCTACAATTACTGTGCCAATGTCTCTCCACTCATTTTCAGACTTGCCAAAAACCATGAAGTCTTAGTTGTTACAAAAAGAAAAAAAATTGGGGGGGGTGAGAGAATTGAATGAAGGTGGTCAAAGGTACAAACTTCCAGCTATAAGATGAACAAGTACTAAGGATGTACAACATATGATTATAGTTAATACAGCTGTATGATATATTTGAAAGTTGATAAGAGAGTAGATCCTAAAAGTTCTCATCACAAGGAAAAAAACCCCATTTTTTTAATGAAATGATGGGTGGTAACAAAAGTTATTGTGGTGCCCTAGCCAGTTTGGCGCAGTGGATAGAGTGTTGGCCTGAGGACTGAAAGGTCCCGGGTTCGATTCCAGCCAAGGGCACATGCCCGGGCTGCGGGCTTGGTCCCCAGTGGGGGCCGTGCAGAAAGGCAGCCAATCAATGACTCCCTCATCATTGATGTTTCTATCTCTTCCTCCTTCTCCCTTCCTCTCTTAAATCAAAGAAATATATTTTTTAAAAAAAGTTATTGTGGTAATAATTTCACAATACATGTAAGTCAAGTTGGCATGTGATAGATCTCTTAAATTTATATGTGCTATATGTCAGTTTTATCTCACAACTGAAAAAAATCTAAAAAATATAAGGAAAAATAACTAGCATAAATATTCTAAACATTAGTGTATCTGCTTTTATAACAAGAAATCTTACAACCCCAAAAGTTATTCTTCAACTTCTCTGCTTCCTTTCACATTCTTCCTGACACCATGAGGGTCTTGTTTTCCTTTCTGGAATCTGTAGCTCTTATCACCTAATTTTATTGTAGCTGTTAAAGGATTATTTTTTATTTTGTCATTGTCCTTTTATATGGGGGCATACAGGAAGATTCAAACACTAGACTACTGTCACTACCATCTTCCCAGAAAACTCTCAAGACTTAGTTTTCCTGTCTCCTTTTTGAAGAAATTATTAAAATAAAGCATTAGACTAGGAGTAAAAGTTTTAGGTCCCTTCTATCACTTAAATGAAATAAAATAAGATAAAATGAAAAGATGGTGGTGATAAATGCAAGTGCTACAGGAAAAAAAAAAGCATAAAAAGGAGATGAGGCAGGATAGTGACCTTCAATAAAACCCTCACAGGGTGGGCCCTATGGATATCAGAGAGGAAATACTTCCGGGAGAGAACAGTCAGTGCTTGGGAGGGGTGAGCGGGGGAGGAGGAAGAGGGGCTTGGGATGTCTGAGGAACAGCAAGGAATCATTATGACTGGAGCAGAGGGAAGAGGAGGAAAAGACACGGAAGATGAGGTCAGAAAGGAAGGAGGTTGGGGATGGGGCATAGAGGAAGGGATCTTGGAGGCTCTTGTAAGGATTTTGGCTTCTTTGTGTGGCCAGCTACTGGAGGTTTTGACTAGGATGACAATCGGATAACATTTAGGGTCTTTCTGCAGCTGGGTGAGAATGGTCTGTAAGCAGCAAGGGCAAAAGAAAGGTGGTCACTTAAGAGGCTTTTTCAATAGCCTATATTGCAAACCCAAGTGTTTCTAATTTCAAAGCCAGTTCTTCCACTAACCCTTCTGTACTAACGTGGTCATAAGAGTGAATATACTTCTAATGTATGGGTAGTTATTTTCCCCAAAACCCTATTATCCTATATATCTTATATAATAAAAGCCTAATATGCTAAGTGTCCGACCGTTCATTTGACCATTTGACCAGTCACTATGACGTGCACTGACCACTAGGGGCCAGACACTTCAACTGGTAGGTTAGCTTGCTGCTGGGGTCTGGCCGATTGGGACTGGGAGAAATGGGCTGTACACGCCCTAGATCAGTGGTTCTCAACCTTCCTAATGCTGTGACCCTTTAATACAGTTCCTCATGTTGTGGTGACCCCCAATTTCATTGTTACAAATTGAACATAATTAAAGCATAGTGATTAATCACAAAAACAATATGTAATTATATATGTGTTTTCCAATGGTCTTAGGCGACCCCTGTGAAAGGGTCGTTCAACCCCCAAAGGGGTCACGACCCACGGTTGAGAACCGCTGCCCTAGACTGATCTGTGCACTGGGCTGGTTTTGGCCAGATTCCTGGAGGCCAGGCCGAGGGACCCCACTGGTGCATGAATCCGTGCACCGGGCCTCTAGTATTACAAATAAGCCATGAAAATATCCTTTTAAAAAATATTTTTTATTTCAGAGAGGAAGGAGGAGGGAGATAGAAACATCAATGATGAGAGAAAATCATTGATTGGCTGCCTCTTGCATGCCCTACACTAGAGACAGAGTCCCAGGCATGTGCCCTGACTACAAATGGAACTGTGACCTCCTGGTTCATAGGGCGATGCTCAACCACTGAGCCATACCAGCCAGGCAAAAATATTCTTTTAAAATAAAAATCCTCTTAAAACCTACTCATTACAGTTTTTTTAAAAAATATATATATTTCTTTATTGATTTCAGAGAGGAAGGGAGAGGGGAGAGAGAGAAACATCAATGATGAGAGAGGATCATCGATCGGCTGCCTTCTGCACGCCCCCCACTGGGGATCGAGCCCGCAAACCAGGCATGTGCCCTTAGCCGGAATCGAACCTGGGACCCTTCAGTCCGCAGGCTAACGCTCTATCCACTGAGCCAAGCCGGCCAGGGCACCATTACAGTTTTAAGTATATAATATTTGAAATCCTTTTATTTTTCTATTAGAAGCCACTCCCACCAAAGAAGGGAAACTGACTTGCTTTAGTAATAGCATTGAGAAATTTAAACCAGCCCTTACAATTCAGCACACTAGACTGAAAACAGCAGTGCTGTCATTTTGTGAAGGTTCTTCTTTGTTGTTCTTATAATTAGAAAATAACTAATGGGTTGCAGATATGATCTTTAAAAAAAGTGATATTTTTTCATGAAAAGGATGTGGTAGAGACTGCCAGTTGTTTGGCCAGTAAGTATTTTCCCTTTCTTCCTTGCTATTAGTCCTCTACTTTTGCTGAAGGTGGCAATATGCCCAACTGGAAGAAAAAACTATTTTCCAAATTATATTGACCATCCTGGCTAGAGAGAAGTAAGTAGGGTTTTCAAGGAAAGGCCTTTAGAAGGAAAACACTTGGCTGGCTTGGCCTTTTGATCTTTGCCTTTTCTATTTTCCTTCTTCCTTTTTGAAACTTGAATGTGATGCTTAGAGCCAGAGTAGCTATCTTATAATCATGAGGAAAAGGTCAAGGGAAATCTGAAAAACTTTGGCTCCCACACCTTTAATATTAGCAACTGCCACAGAATCAATACTAGTAACTGCCAACCTCCAGACTAGGTGTTATCTCGTTGCTTTTTAAATCTTTTTAGAAAATTGATTTCAGAGAGGAAGAGGGGGAGAGAGATGGAAACATCAATGATGAGAAAGAATTACTGATCAGCTGCCTCCTTTACACCCCACACTGGGGATCGAGACTGTAACCTGGGCATGTGCTCTGACCGGGAATTGAACTGTGACCACCTGGTTCATAGGTTGACACTAAACCACTGAGCCACGCCAGCTGGGCAGGTGTTATCTTGTTTAAATCTCAGTTGAAAAAAAAAATATATATAGTAGCAAACACAGTTCCTAATTCAAGACATATACCAAACCCATCATTAAACATACTTTGGAAAGAAGTGACATTTCTGAATTTCCACTAGCTACATATGCCTGTGATGTTAAACATGTAGACTGAGATCAATCTTTCACTTCTCTTTGAAGAATGCTCACTTTTTCCAAGAAGAAGAATATCTCCTGCATTTATATATGAGGAAAGAAATGCAAAGCAAGAAATTAACATTGGAGCCCTTCTGAAACAACATTTCTGTTAAATCTTGCATTATTAATAAAAAGCATTGTATATTTTATTATGAAAATATGCTATTTAGTGGCACCATAATAATGCTCAAATGGATTGAGAAAGTTACAGTATTTTTTTTCCATCCTTAAGTTATGTTCCTGAAAACCATGCCAAAAGAACGTGTGGGTGAGGAATGGAAACATTTCATGAGAAACTTGGAGACAAAGGAACCAAAACAGGGGCAGGAGAAAGCCAAAGTACATTTTATTAAAGATGTTCACTAATATAAAACAGCCCACTAAATACAGGTATATCATTGGCATTATGGACAAATATATACATCTTTAACAATGAGTATCATGCAATTCATTTTCTTTGTTATGCCTTGCTTGTCAAGCAATTTTTAGAACTTCTCTTTCTCCCATAGTTATAATGAGATTTTGTAAATCTGTTTTATTCTCACAGGAGTAGGGAGAAACTGTATTCTGCCTCAGCTTTTCTTTCTCTTGCAAGGAGACTCTGAACCAATATTTCATGTTGCTGTGCTGTTAGTTCCACTGCTCTCCAACTTTCCCATGTGGGAGCGCACTGACCACCAGGGGGCAGCTCCTGCATTGAGTAATGTTCCTGAAAACCATGGTGGTCAGTGCGCATCATAGCGACCAGTCGTTCTGTCATTCCACCTTAACAGTCGCTTAGGCTCTTATTATACAGATGTAATGGGAAGCTCTGGGAGGGATGAGAACTGAAGAGGGACTTGTGTTTTAAATGGTCACTCTTGTTACATAGGGTGCCATAGGTGTTTGCAATAATCCAAGAGAAAGATGATGGTGGCTTGGACTAGAGTTGTAGTGGAGGAGATAGTGAGAAATATCCAGATTCTGGATATATTTTTAACATAACAATAAAAGGATTTTAGTGTGGAGTGTGAAAGAAATTGATGAGTCCAAGGATGAAGTTTCTAGATTGAGCAACAGGAGGATGGGGTTACCACTTACTAAATTGGGTGAGATTTGGGTGTGGGGAGTTAGCAGAGGCTATTGATGCCCTGTCCCACTGTACCTTGGCTTACTTCTGAGCTTACTTGCAGCTTGGTGGCAGTTCTTCCCTCATCCCTCTGTTTCTCTGTCTTGGGGATTTCTCCATCAACAGTGAGGAATGGGAAGGGAGTTACTGGATAAATAACCCAGCTTCTCTCTTCCTGGGTGGGACAATTCTGAGATGCCTTCTACAAGATTCCTTAGAGAGGATCCAGCTTCAATTGCCCACAATATTGACCTGCTCCTTAAACCGTCCTTTATTAACATTTCTCCTTTCTCGTTTTTACTTCCCCTATTTCTATACTTCCTGGGGGTAACCTCCTATATAAGTTAGATTTGGTTGCATAACAAACTGCCCCAAAATTTAGTGGCTTAAAACAACTATTTTTGCTCATGATTCTGTGGGTCAGCAATGGCCTGGATTCATCTGTGTGACTCTTCTGCTGGCCTTGCCTGGGGTCACTTAGTGGCTATAATCATTGGGCAGCTTGACTGGATCTGGATGGTTTAAGACAGGGGTGGGCAAACTTTTTGACTCGAGAGCCACAATGGGTTCTTAAACTGGACCGGAGGGCCGGAACAAAAGCATGGATGGAGTGTTTGTGTGAACTAATATAAATTCAAAGTAAACATCATTACATAAAAGGGTACGGTCTTTTTTTTTTTTTTAGTTTTATTCATTTCAAACGGGTCAGATCCGGCCCGCGGGCCGTAGTTTGCCCACGGCTGGTTTAAGATGACCTCTGCTGATACATGGCAGAAGCTAGCTGTCAGCTGGTTGATTTAAGAGGCTTCAGATGGGATGGTTCATCTGCTCCTCTGTCCCTCTTAATCTCCAGGAGGCTAGATGAAGTTGTTTCACATGACAGTCTCAGGGAAGCCAGAAAGCATCATGAGGCCTGGGTCAGAAGTCTCACAGTGTCACTTCTGCTGCATTCTTTTGGTCAAAGCTAGTCACAATGCCAGATCAGATTTTTATTTTATTTTATTTTTAAATATATTTTATTGATTTTTTACAGAGAGGAAGTGAGAGGGATAGAGAGCTAGAAACATCGATGAGAGAGAAACATTGAGCAGCTGCCTCTTGCACACTCCCTTACTGGGGATGTGCCTGCAACCAAGGTACATGCCCTTGACTGGAATCGAACCTGGGACCCTTGAGTCCGCAGGCCGATGCTCTATCCACTGAGCCAAACCAGTTAGGGCGCCAGATCAGATTCAAAGGGTGAAGAGAAAAATCTCACTTCTTGATGGGGAGTGATATCAAAGTTACTTTGCACGAGGGGCAGACATATAAGAAGGGAAGAAAGTTAAGGCCATCTTTGCAAGCAATTCACCCATGTCCCTCAATCCCTGAATTAACTACTACTCTGGGTCCTTGTCTCACAGTCTGCTCTTGGGGGAATCCAAACTAAAATGGGGTGGGTGGGAATCAAAGCTCTGGTTTAGACATTCAAAGTTTGAAACATTTATTGGAGAAATCCAAGGAGAGATTTTTAATTAGCAGTTGAATATATGAACCTGGACTTCAGAACAGAGGTCTGGGTTAGAGATGCTCAAGTTGGGAGTCTTTGCTATGTACATAAGTATATAAACTGATGGGCCTGGATAAGATCATATGGAGGATGTGCAGAGAGAAAGAAGAGGTCAGAAGACTAAGTCCTGGGCCACTTTAATGTTAAGAGTCAGGGATAGGTAGAGGGGCCTGCAGAGGTCACTGAGAAGGAGCAGCCAGTGATGTCCTAGAGTGACAGTGGTGTCCTGGAGGCCAAAGAAAGGACGTTTCCAAGAGTGATAAACAGTGACAGGGAAGAGCATTCCATATGCTCTCTGTGTAAAGTGATTTGGGGTCATTGCTCCACACGTGTCAGCATTTTATATCCAACTTCATATTTTCTCATTTACTTATAAGAATTATAACTCAAAGGCAGAGGTCAGTAAGACATCTACCTTTGGGACAGGTCTGTAAACATGGAGTTGAGAAGGAAGCCACAGAAAGGCAATAGCCTGCAGATTCATCACAGTCACAAGTTTAACTAACTCTGTAGCCCTGGGAAGCTTTTCACGATTTTAACACAGTTTAGTGCAGGATACAGGAGTTAGCATGGACCTTACAAAAGAACTAGACGATCAAGCTATTTTAAAATTTATATTTCAAAAGAATTCAACATTACATTGCTTGTTTACAATTAGCTCGAGATTAGGTTTTATCTACCTCCCCCGAATCTGTTCTGATGTGCTTTGTGCACCTCATTTGAATGGTTTGGTTTCCTTCCACTTACTTTCCCCACTCCAAATTTTCCTGAACTGATTTTGTTTTTCTCCTTATTTTCCCCCCAACACCATTTATCCCTCCTATGCCCTACTCCACCCCAACCCACTCTGCTTCCCCCTGAACTGATTCTTGTCATGCATCCCACATATAATGTGCTCATTTCCACAGTCTATGCCTAAAAGGAAGAAAAAGAGCCTACTTTAAATCTGGGTTCAGAGCACAATTGGAAAAACATTTCTGCTGTCTGTAAACAATTACTAAGAAGCTTAAATATGTTTACTGTTAATAACTAAAACCTCAAAATACGTATTTTGAAAAGATAAGGCAACCTCTCTCCTTCCTTTCATTGGCTGCCAAATGGCAACAGCCCCACTTCCTCATCGAGTTCCTTGCAATCCCTCCCAAATAGACATTTGCACCCAAATTTTTGTCTCAGTGCCTGCTTTTGGGAGAGCCCAAACCAACACAGTGTTCTGAATATGTGGAATGCCCTGCACTTCACTTGGCAACAAACAGTGGAGTCCAAAGGCAGCTGAACCTTTCATGGCCACATGTCCCTCACTTTGGACAGCCCTCCCTGGGACTGGCCAAGCGGCATGTAAGTTTGTGATCCTGCACATGTAAGCGACAAGCAGGGGGAGCTGTTTCTTTTTTATATTTCCAAGCACTGAGAGAACAGACCCAACAAATACTTATTTTACAATTTCAAAACCACAGTACAAGCTACATAATGCATGTAATTAAAAAAGCTAAATATTAAAAAAAGCTAAATATATAAACAAAAATACTTTCATAAATACCTCATATGCTGTCATGTGCCTTTTTCTAATTTCTTTCCTGCTTCTTTATTTTTCTTAAATTGGGGTTATAAGAGTTTTCAAGAACTTGCTTTGCTTAATTTTTGTCTTCTGGGCCTTTGTTACCTCATTGGCTTGAGTGTTTTCAGGAGGACGGTTAATGCTTCAACTTGAATTAGCAAGCTCTCCTGGAAGAAAAACACACCATGTCATTTCTAAATTAATTCTATAACCGTACAGAATTTGATTTTCACAAAAGAATGTGAAAATTATCTTAGATAATTTAGGCAGCAATTTCATCTGACAAATGTGAGATTCTACTCTTAAAAATTTTATTGAATGTATTGGGATGACATTAACTAATAAAATTATATAGTTTTCAGATTAACCTATATAATTCTACAATACATCATCTGTATATTGTATTGTGTGTTCATCACCCAAAGTCAAGTCTCTTTTCGTCACCATTTACCCTACTTTTATCCTCTTCTACTTCCCCCAACCCTGCTTTCCCTTACTGTTGTCTTTGTCTCTGAGGTGTTTTTTTCCCTTAATCCTTCCACCTTTTTCATAGACTCCCTCCCCTCTAACAGATGTCAGTCTGTTTTCTGTATCTATGAGTCTGTTTCTATTTTGTTTGTAAGCTTATTTTATTCATTAGATTCCACATGTAAGTGAAATCATATGGTACTTGTCCTTTTCTGACTAGCTTATTTCGCTTAGCAGAATACTCTTCAGATCCATCCATGCTGTGGTAAAAGGTAATATTTCTCTCTCTCTCTCTCTCTCTCTCTCTCTCTCTCTCTCTCTCAGCCAAGTAGTATTCCATTGTGTAAATGTACCACAGGTTTTTTATCCACTCATCTATTGATGGGCACTTGGGCTGCTTCCAAATCTTGGCTACTGTTAATGCTGCAATGAACCTAGGGGTGCATATATTCTTTTGAATCAGTGTTTCAGATTTCTTTGCATATATTTCCAGAAGTTGAACTGCTGGGTCATGAGGCAGTTCCATTTTTAATTTTTTGAGATAACTCCATACTGCTTTCCACAGTGGCTGCACCAATCTGCAGTCCCACTAGCAGTGCACGAGTGTTCCCTTTTCTCCACATCCTTGCCAATACTTGTTGTTTGTTGATTTATTGATGATACCCATTCTGACAGGTGAGAGTTGATATCTCACTGTGGTTTTAATTTGCATCTCTCTGATGATTAATGACATTGAACATCTTTTCACATATCTATTGCCCATCTGTATGCCTTGCTCAAAAACTGCTTCATAAAATGAGTCTGTAGTATCCAATGTATTTTGGGCACTGCAGCTCCGTGGGCAGGGTCTGTGACCGTTTTGCCAATTACTGAACCTCCAGCACCTACTATAGTGACTGTGATATAGTGGGTGCTCAATAAACACTGGTTTAATGAGTAAGTGCATAAATTTATACAATATTAATTCAGAATACCTGACACTCATTGAATGTATATATCTGCAATAGTTGTTTTTTTTAAAAATAAATCTTTATTGTTCAGATTATTACAGTTGTTCCCCTATTTCCCCCCCATAGCTCCCCTCCACCTAGTTCCCACCCCACCCTCTGCCCTTACCCCCCCACTGTCCTCATCCATAGGTGTACGCTTTTTGTCAATGGGTCAAAGGTCATACACATGGAAAATGTAGCTATGTCCATCCGCAATGTGTCTCTGTGCTCGGAAAGGTCTCTCACGACTTGTTCATGCTCTACTCAGAAAGGGTGCGGAGCCACGTGACGGCTTTTTAAAATAATGTATCCTCTTATGTTTAAAATGAGGATTTCGCTACCAAAACTGAGGAGAAAGCAACACTACAGCTGCTCTCACCTCTCTCGCCCTTCGGGTGATAGTTGTGCGTGAGGCTGCGCGCTGGTTTGCGGGCCATCGACAAAGCTGTCTGGGCGGCTCGCGTGGTTCTGCCGGCTTCCCAGGGGCCATTGCAGCCTCGCAGGGGCCGTCGCAGCCTCACACAACCTCGCAGGGGGCGTCGCAACCTCGCAGGGGCCGTCGCAGCCTCACGCAGCCTCGCAGGAGGCGTCGCAACCTCGCAGGGGCCATCGCAGCCTCACGCAGCCTCATAGGGGCCGTCACAACCTCGCAGGGGCCGTTGCAGCCTCGCAGGGGCCGTCGCAGCCTCACGCAACCTCGCAGGGGGCGTCGCAACCTCGCAGGGGCCATCGCAGCCTCACGCAGCCTCATAGGGGCCGTCACAACTTCGCAGGGGGTGTCGCAACCTCGCAGAGGCCGTCACAGCCTCACGTAGCCTCACAGGGGGCGCCACATCCCATGTTGGGGTTGAAGGTGCGAGACAGAAGCTCCTCTTGCTGTCTCTCCTGCTGCTCCCTTGCGTATCGCTGATGCTGGAAGTTTCTGAGAGCAGTCTGCAGGTGCTGTACATCATACTTTAACTGGTCAACACGAAGTTTGGCATTCTGTCTTTTGTTGGGAGGCTCCTTGCTGGACAAAAATCTCCAGGCATTCTAGCTGGCTGAATATCTGGTATGCTTGCTTGGATTTTGTTTTCTGCTAAGTGCACAGACTGCCTGCCTGCCATCTCCCGGCGTCCCATGTGAGACTGGATCTGGTGGACCTGCTTGTGCGTTTGCTGGTACAGCGGTTCCATGTCGCTGGCCCAGCCGGGTCCGGCTCCGGCTTCCTCCGAACCTGAGTCTGCTTCTTGAGTGTGTCCCTTATGGATGCAAGGAGTTGAAATCTGCAGTTTGTTGGGTTAGGCTGCAAAAGCGCAGGTGGTTCCTTTTGTGCCACTGGCACAGCTTGGGTGGGGATGTAAATTGATTAGGGCGGGGTCTCAGGGAATCACCAGGGCGGAGCAAACAGCAATGGTTGCGTCAGTGTCTCCGCAACTCCTTGCCTCTCTGCGACTCCGCGTTTCCGCGTCCCGGAGTGCCGCACCCCCACAGCAACAATGATCACTGAGAGCAGCTCCGTAAGAAAGCCACCCTCACTCTCCGACCCGCTGCAAGACAGTCCAGCCTCTCCCCATAGGGGTCTGGGACCTCAGAATCCCGCCCCAAACAAGCTCAGTGGATTCTAGAGCTTGTATCCCCTTCCGATTGAAAAAAACCGTACATCCAGTTGCATCCCGCCTGGCGCGCACCTCCGTACCTCTGTTCTTGGCGCCTCTGCACCTCCTACTCAGTCTCAATGCGCTTCTTTCTTTCCTTCCAGTTGTAGAACTTCCACTGGGCCAGCTTTCCCATGGTTCTGGATGACAGCTGTTTGTCTTGTAGTTGGTAGTTTTAATGTTCTTGTGGGAGGCAGCACGCACAGTTCTATACCTTATGCCTCCATCTTGGTTCTCCCCGCAATGGTTGTTTTTAAAAGAAAATAGTTTCTATAATTTGCAAATAAAGCAATAATCTGATAGTTTATAGAAAACGCCCCTCATACCCAATTTTATTTCTTTTGACATAATACCATCTCTGGATATAGTCTATTTTGCAAAATAAAATAGCACTTTTACAGTGATTATATTGGATAGGGAAGACAATATCACCCCATTTACTGGACAATAATTTATCCAATATTAGTGTTACTAGGTTGTTTTGCATCACTAATAATGGAAATCCTAAGTATACTGACTAATACCCATTCCTGATCAAACTACTGGGAGAAGAGAGGGGATTACTCATGGCACTAGGGACCAAGTGGGCTGCTCCTAAGATATTAGGGCTGTATGGGACAGGGCAGATGCCTGAACAAGATTGGTGGGAGTGTATCCTGGGTAGGTACTGTGTCTTCCACAGTCACCAACTAATAACTGGAAGAATTAGCACTCAAACCTAGTTGTCCTGAAATCAAATGTAATGCTTTTGTTTTAAGGTAATGTGCTGTAACAAACTATTCATTTTACAGAAAGTAAATTATTCATATTTTTGTTTGTTGTTTTGTTTCTTAATTTAAAGGGTAATACACTCCTAGAGTTCTTCTGGTAGCATTATTCTAAGTCCCTTATTAACATTAAGGGAGTCTGCAGAATGTATTCCAGTAATTTTGAAGCAGTGTTCTTTAATAGTTCTTTAATACTTCCCCATGGAGGATAACTAATGTTTCCTGTGAGCTTCTACACTAAGTCCTCCTAATGCCAGAGTTCAATAAGTATCTATACTAATAAAAGGGCAATATGTTAACTAGACTGGACATCTTCTGGCTGTCCATCTGAACACCCATCCGGACAAAGCCACAGTGGCTGCGAGGCAGCCAATCAATGTGTCTATCTCACATCAATGTTTCTTTCTCTCTGTCTCTCCCCTTCCCTTCCACTCTCTCTAAAAAATCAATGGGAAAAAAAATATCCTTGGGTGGGAATTAACAACAACAACAAAAAATCCATTAAAATAAATGTTGTGCCTCATAAACTCATTATAATGGATGTTAATGATACCCTAGTCATATTAGTTTCCTTTGGCTCTTTAACAAATTACCACAAACTGGGTGGATTAAAATAATAAAAATTTAGTTTTTTGCAGCCTGGAGGCAAGAAGTACAAAATCAGTATCACTGGGTCAAAATCAGTATCAGCAGGCCCTCCCTTTGGAAGATCTAGGGGAGACTCTATTCCTGGCTTCTTCAAACTTTTGGGGGCTGCGAGCATTCCATTCTTTGCTTGTAGCAACATCACATCGATTGCTACCTCCATCTTCACATCACCTTCTCCTCTATGTCTATGTCAAATCTCTGTGTGCCTCTCTCTTATAAGGGTGGATATGATGGAATTTAGGGCCCACTAGGTAATCCAGCATAATCTCTTCCTTTCTACATGCATTTATAGGTTCCAGGGATTAGACCTAATATCTTTGGGGACCATCATTCAGACTACTACACTACGATTTATTTTCCTTTGCTCTTTTCTGTTAATCCTTACCTGAGGATATTTGTCCATTGATTTTTAAGGAGAGTGGAAGAGAGAAGGAAAGACAGAGAAACATCGATGTGAGAGAAACACATTGATTGGTTGCCTCCTGCATAAGCCCCAACCAGGGCCCGGGCCAGGAGGAGCCTGTAACCAAGGTACTTGCCCTTAACCGGAATTGAACCCAGGACCCTTTGGTTGGCAGGCTGACAATCTATCCACTGAGCCAAACCGGTTAGGGCAAATATTCTTTTTTTTTTTTTTTTTTTAATATATTTTTTTATT